TATATATCGCTCTAAGCAACCCATGGAAGAATTCCGTTTTTGTTCCACGGGTTCCCTAAGACCGGCCAATCGCGTTACTTCCTTGCGGCGGCGGCCGAGCTATCACGATTTTTCAGTTATCGTATACTTATCAATCATAGATATAGTGTTTTTGATTTTTCGAAACGTTTTACGCTTATTTTTCGTCTCTTTACGCGATTTTTCGATTTTTCGACCTTTGTCCGTCGCCGTTCGTACCATTTTTGCGTCGTCCGTTTCTTTTGCCATCCGTCGGCGTACGGGTTTCGCTCGAAATCGGTTAGTGCGCTTCGCCGTCGCGTTCCGTTCCCGAAGCATCCTCCGTACGTTTTCATCGGGTTTTTCGATCTGCTTCATATTTAAACGCGCCGTTTGCCCTTTTTTCGCGTCGTTTACATCTTTTAAAAACCGTGGACGTGCGGTTTGTACGCCGGTTCGGTCCGTACGCTTAGAAATCGCGTTTACAACCGAGTCTATATACTGACACTTATGATGTAATTTTTTCTTTTTTTTTTACCTATTCAATAAATATTGCTTTTGACTGTTTGAAGTACGTGTTGTTTTGTCCTTGGTAGCCTAACCTCTGTTCAAAATACATATTTTAAATTCATGTCGACGGTGGATTTTTCAAATATCCCTACAGATATGACAATACCCTTATTTGTGGTATAATATATTATTGCCGTTAGTATGTAGGTTAATTGGTGGTTTAGCTAATTAATGTCAAGTAACATGGGAACAAAACTGTTGTTTGTCGGCGTTATGAAAGTATATACTGGTGATACATACAATAGTTTTTAAATAACGCTTTGGTTCGTCGAAATTGAAGGATGCAGTTTTAAATATTACTATTGATAGTTAAGGTAGATCTTATAGTAGTAGCCTATAGTGATGAGATAAAATAGCAGTAGCAGTGATTTTTCACAAGTGATTTTAAAGTAGCAATCACGGCCTGCTACTCCAGTATGAAAATAACAGTGACTGCTACTTTTTTATAGTTGGTGACATTGGAAATATATTTTCTGTTATTGCTACTTATTGTAACTGCTATTATTTAGTATTTTCTATTGTTATTTTAAATATTTTAATCAATTGCTACTTTTGCTGGACATTAGATAATAAAATACCTAATAGTTAAAAAATGATAATAATAATAGTTTAATAATGATAACATAACAATGAAACTTCACTCTTATCAGAATTAGTTATCAACAAATACCTAATTCAATAAACAATACCCATTATAAGAAATTAAGAACTGATAATACTCGCTTAATAATAATTTTAACATGGTAATAAAATAATAATAAAATAATGTTAAGACAATATTATTATGTAAACAAWTTATGCATTTTGATTTAAAAACAACAACATTTCTGCTTTTTTTGTGTTTAAGCAGCAACGGCGATCGGATATTAAAAGACCTGACTTAGAAAATACACGTTCGCATGGAACAGATGATCCTAGACAACATAACATCCTCCTTGCTAATACATCTAAAAATGGGTAATTGTACTTGTGATCTTGCCACCATTCTAGTGGATTACAGTTTCTTTTTAATACCGGTTCTTCTATATAACGTTGCACCTCTACTATAGCCCGTGAAGTTGATGTTCCAATCGAAGGCTGCATTTGAGAAGCACACTTATCAATTGACTCCCAAATTAAAAATTGCTTCACTTCAGGCGTCAATGTATCGGATGGTTGGTTAGAAATCTGTGGTTCATATTCAATCGATGTAGATTCTGATCTGTATGTCGAAATAATCTTTGCTGTTAGTTCCACTATATCATTTTTTAATGAGTTAAGCATATTTTTGTTGTGAGTGAATGGTAAATTTTTAAACCGTGGGTCAAGAAATGTACATCTTTTTAAGGTCTTACTATTTTCTATATTTCCCCAATTTTGACGGTTTCTCATATCATTTAATATATTATTGAYTAACCCTAAAGCCCTGAAAGAATAATTTTCATTTTTCATGTGTTCACAAACATTTTTCAACCCTTGAGCAATAACTATAACTAATGAAGCATTTATGTACTGAACTCCACTCACAGCTCTAGTAGCTTCTTCAAAAGGTCGTAAAATATTACAAAACTCTTTTATAACAACCCATTCATCTGAATTCAAACAAGGTGGTGCATTTTCTAAAAGTCCCATTGTTCCCTGTATAGAAGTCTCTAGTTGTACAAAGCGCTCTAGCATGTAGAATGCGGCATTCCACCTCGTGGCTACATCTTGTAAAACTTTTAGTGGAACATTGACCACCATACTTTTTTGATATGCAATTAATTTATTATTTGCATTTGTACTCTTACGAAAATGAGTACAAATGTTTTTTACTTTATCAATGAGATCATTTTCTTTTTTAAGTGCAGATTTAACAATAAGGTTTAGGGTGTGAGCAAAACAACCAAAATGTTTAAATTTTAACTGTCCTAATGCATTTTGTATGTTGTAGGCGTTATCAGATATAGCAAATAAAATTTTTTCTCTCAAGTTCCACGAATTTAAAGTTTTATTAATTTGCTCAGAAAGATTATCGCTTGTGTGGTTCTCATTAAAGGAATGGCAACTCAATAATATAGACTTCAAATTAAAATTGTTATTAATGAAATGAATAGTTATGGCAATGTAATTTTTGTTATCCCTAGATGTACAGCAATCAGTTGTTAAGCAAGCCATGTCTAATTCATTTAATATTATTGATTTAACCTCATTCACAAATTTTTCATACGCTGCTGGAATAAGAGTTTTGGAAATGGTATGGCGGTTGGGAATCTTGTAGCCTGGGTTTAGCATATTCACAAACTCTTTAAACCCTGTGTCTTCTACTACACTAAAAGGCTGCAGATCTTTAATAAAAAGTTTAATGAGTGCAGTATCTAATTTTTTTGGCCATTAAAAGACATTTTTTTTGGAGTATAATTAGTAATTGCYAACTGTATACTACGTTTTAATGGATTAGATTTTAAAATTGGTGTTATCTCATGTACAACAGTTGGCATACTTTTGGTTCTAAAGTTGTAAATGAAGAAAATATTTTATTATCTGATCAAGATCGCCACAATCATATACCATGCAATGATTCAGATATAAACCGGCAAATAGTGAGTACAACTTGTAAACGAAAAGCTTCGGAAGAACTTTTTATACAACCAAAAAAAATKATTTTAAAAGAATTAGCACAGAACTCTCAACTTGCTGATGGCCTAACATCAAACGATTTTAATACAATTAGAAAAGTAATATATAGACGTAAAGTTCTTCCTGTGTTGCAAGTAATATAATTGAAGCACACATGGCTTTAAATACATCTGAAACTGTAACCTCAAAAAATGAACCCTTTCTTTTAATAAATAATCAAGAAAAAAATGTTATTRTTTTTTCTTGTACGACTAATTTAATATTTTTAAATACAGTAGACACTATATATATGGATGGAACTTTTCAATATTGTGCGCGATTTTTTACGCAAATGTTTACCATCCATGGTTTTCAAAATGGACATTATATACCATTAATTTTTTGTCTACTTCCCGATAAAAAGTATGAAACATACTTATATACGCTTAACGCAATTATTGATAAATGTAAAGAAATKAATTTAAATTTTTCACCTAAACATTGACTTAAATATTGACTTTGAACTGGTTATATACTCAGCTGTTAATGAAATATGGACTCTGTCAAAGAGGGTTCAATGTCGTTTTCATCTAACACAGGCGTGGTATAGAAATATTCAGCAGCATGGTTTAGCAACAGAATATAAAACAAATTCGGACATTGGCAAATGGATTAAATACAATTTTGGTTTATTATATTTGGACCCCGAAGAAGTATCTGWCTGTTTTGTGGAAGATTTGATGCCAGAATGCCCAACTGATGATAGAGTCACCAAATATTGTGATTATTTAGTAAACAATTATATTTCTGAGGATAGTACATTTCCTCCTTGTTTATGGGCATGTAATTCAGCGAGTATTCTGCTTACGACGAATGCGTGCGAGTCGTTTCATTCGTTCTTCAATGACTATTTTTATTCTAATTCTCCATCTATATTAAGTTGGTTAAATGTTGTGAAAAACTTGGTTCAAACTGATACGTATATCAAAATCAATAGCGTTAAAGTACCAAAGATATCAAAAGA